TTTAATGAAACTTTAATACCAAATGATAGATAACTCAAATGTATACAACTTTGCTGAAGGTCACTTTGGCAAATAAACACATTTTCAATGAGTTTAAACACAAAACATGTGGTTCATAAAATCTGTCAAAAATTAACATGTGTTATGGACAGCACCTCAGTGTTTACCCTCTAGATTGAGCTACAGACTTTCAAATGACATGTTTCAAGTCTCAAATTAAGACTAAAGCATGCCTCTACAACTTTTATTTAGAACACCGAAGCATAAAAGGTCATTTAGATAGTGTAAAATCAGTTAACATTCAATATCAGATTCTGCCAAAACACAAAACTCTATCTCATGCATGTCTATCTTCCTAAGAACACAACTCGAGCTACAGAGCACATATTAACATGAAATTTATCTCATTTAAAATATAAGAAACAGATCTATAACTTCCATGAAGAGCATAAATTCATACGAGCACGTTATGACATGATAAACAGGTCATACATTAATTACACACATGCTGCCGGGTAACAGGAAAACTGGACGCGCAATATTCTCGTAAAAATCATAACTTATTCGATATAACTCGGAATCGAGAAATTCCAAAGCCCACATATAGAAAACCGAACGTACTACATTTCATAAGAAGATAGAAACTTCAAATAACCAGCCTCTGATGGCTTAAACTGAGGCACAACAGAAACAACCAACATGCGAATTAACAAGAAATAACAATGAACATATATAACGAAAGTTCTAAGCTCGACCACGATTAATATGACTTCCCAACAAAAATAAACGAGCACAACATGTTCATCACAGCAACTACATGATACTCGATTTATAAAAAAGACGAGAGTTATCAATCTCCTCGAAGAATTTGCGAGACAAACCAATGAGTAAGAACGAATGATAACGAACAAATTATAACAGGGAAAATCAGCCATTAACCCGATTCCCACGAATCTACACGCACAAGTGGTCGGATCATCAACATGCAACCGACACTTAAACTCCACTCCCAGTTCCATTGACCGGGTTCTACACGCGTCTAATAGTTCTAGCCACAATAGGTACAGACTTCCGAATAATCCACACATCCGAGACTTATTCGTTTGTTTGTTCCCTTTACTTAAGCCTTCTCTTTCGAGATAGCTTACGAATGATTCTCACTCGATGGTACTAAACAGAAACTCATAACGAGTGCACTGCTATAGACCAAACTTAACTCGATAACACCCAACCAAAGACTCACAACAAAAAAAAAAAAATTCTCTTAAGTCGGCATTTAACTCTGCACCACTAGAGTTCAAGTCCGAATAAACGGAGGGTAAATTCCTAAGCCCCAATAAAAGAACAAACCATAATCACGTCATTCACAATAATCAAAACAAATAAAACTCATACCTTGAGCTGGTGCGGCGAGACAAAGCGAGTGGTCAATGGTCATTAAACACTTAATCACAAATGAACCAGTCTACAGAAAAGTAAGACTGGCTCTGATACCAAACTGTAACGCCCCATTTTATTTTAAAGAATTTATCGAATTTATTTAATAAAAATCAGAGTTTTTTTTTTTAAAAATCCAAGTTAAAACCTTTTTCGAGAAACGGGCCCTACTTCCTAACATCAACCAACAACACACATGCACGAGCTAACAATAAAACAAATACCAAAACATAAGTCTCAAACCATTTTAAAAGGTCTAGCCTTATTCAAAGTTCAACCAAATCCTACACATACATAAGCCAACAGTTATACAAATAAACCAGCTTATTCAAGTCTCAACATTATCCAAAAAGTTTAACATAAATCCATGGTTCATCCAACACAAACATGATTTCAAGCTGAAGCATAAATAATCCAAAATAAAAGCAAGTAGTTCATCATATAATAAAAATANNC